TTAAAATAAATAAATAAAAGGTTGAAAAAAAAAAAAGACTATCTGTAGGGCAAAAGAACCATGCTTGGAAGTATACTCAGGAAGACTGCATTGCTCAAGTCTCACTGTAGATTGGTCTGGGGGATGACACCACTGTTGCCCACCAAAACCAGAGCTGGCTGCCACTGCTGTTCCACTGGCAGAGTGGCATGGCTACGTTCTCCAGACTCACTCGCTTTCACCTCAGGGTTTGATTGGCTGAGTTTAAACCAGGAACTCTAGCTGCAAGGGAGGCTGGAAAGATGTGTGTTTACTTTTCAGCTTCTGAAGTGGAAAGTGGACTTCTCTCATGAGAGGGGGACTCATTCCTCTAACATAGAAAGGTGCCTCAGATGATGGGCTACCTAAAAGAATGACCAGAGTCCTTTGCTAGAATAACCTGAGACCCTGAAATTTTGACTGTGACACAAACAGAAGTTTCTGCTGAAGCTCCCCAAGCAGGGACTTCCTCCACACAGGAGGCTCCCCAGATATCCTCGTGGTTCTACTGGAAAGTATAAAGAGTAACAAACAGTTGATGTTATACATTAATGCTCTGATTATAATTTCATTATATCCTGTGGAAGTTCTCACATGATGTTTTAATATAGGGACACAGGAGGGCACTCTAACCAACCAGCAATAAAGAGTAAATGGTTTCATAGCCTAGGCAGTTTAAGAGAAAAAAAAGGATATTAATCTTGTTGAATATATATATATATATTTTTTTCCAGGTAGTATAACCAACTTTGCAGGAGTACCAAGCTCTCTGTGGGGATCCACTTGTGACAAAGGCCCCCAAAACACACCCTCAACACTGTCCAGTTAAGGTTCTGAAGACTATGATTTGAGCATCTCAGAACAGAGAAGGGGATTTTTGACCCCCAGGTTTCCCACTGCCTCGACCACTGAAGAGATGGAGACATGGTTCCCAAGGGCTCATATTTAGAGGTCAATTGGCTAAATCAAACTGAGGGAAGAGAGAGAGAGAGATCTGGTTGTCAAGACTAGCTTCAGAACTGTAGCCTGTCCCATAACTCAGTTTTCCCATCTGTAAAATGGAGATGATACCCAACTTAGTCTGCATAGTTTACCAATGGAGGAGAGCGGTAGAGGAGGGAAGCAACGTTTCTGGCGGTGCTGTTTACCACGCTCGTAAAATGC